TATAGGGTTTCCTGCCTGAGCAAGAGTTTGGACTAGAAGACTTCCAAGATCCTTTCCAACTCTGTTATTCTGTTATTCTGTCTGTCTTAAGTCCTTCTCTCTGGAATTGTTTTTCTGTTAATGACTGATATGTAGAGCCCTTGCACTTTTCTTTCTTTTTTTTACATTATGCTCTGTTTTGTTGGGCCTCTATATTTCTTTTCCTCTCTTTTCAACTCTCTACTCCCTACGAAGGAAAAACTTCTCCTTTCTTTTGGCTGCTCTACTTGGTTTGCTGACGACTGCAGAGCTCCATAATATGCCTCAGCTTCCTTCTGCTCCTACACCTGTGTCAAGATGGCTGCTTGACTGGCAATTCTGCTGCTGAGGGAAAGGCTCAGATGGGAGGGAAAGAAGGCAGCACAGGTGCCTGCAATTATGCCAAGCACCTGCCCTTCCACATTTCCCCTTCCTTTTCCTTCCTGCCTTCTCACTTCATTTTATGTTTCCTTCTCATAATGTCTTCATTCATTTTCTTTTTCTGTTCCCCCCCCCTATCTTATGCTTTGCTTCTCCTTTAGAATTGGAAAACAGTTGGACATGGGGAGGTGGAGTACTTTCTTGTGTAGTTGGGAAAAAAAGCTTAGAATCAATTGTGCTGTTCAAAACTTCTTTCTGTTCTGGGTGGTCTAGGTGCCTTTTCTGCTTTGAAATACTTTGTAAATAGAGGGAGTGAAAGGGAATGAGCGGGAAAACAACTTTCCTATGCCATTCCTGAAGAATACTGGCTGATGTACCAAGGATGGTTTCTGTCTCTTAGAGCTATCCCTTAAATCTACCACCAGGGCTGCAAAATATGAAAGATCAGTACAGAGGTATCAAACTGCCAGTCCTCAGGCCGGATGCATCATGCCAAAACCACGCCCACCCCATTGCTGGCAATGGGGAAAAAATCGCGATATGTTGCAACACATCACCTGACGTTATGAGTTTGACACCCCTGGATCAGTAGATGGCAGCAAAGAAATATAAAGAATTCCAATTATTTGCTGCCATCTAGTGGTCACCTGGAATGTTGTCTGGCACTTTAAATTTAACATTGTCCTAATGTTCTTTGGCTGTCTCATACACTGTTGTTACTTTCTTTGTCTGGCTGTCTCAAACATGTATCAGCTACCATTCTCAATCTGAAGGTATTGAACACACATAGTAATAGTAGTAAAGTTGGAAGGAACCTTGGAGGTCATCTAGTCCAACACCCTGCTCAGGCAGGAAACCCTACACCATTTCGGACAAATGGTTGTCCAGTCTCTTCTTAAAAACTTCCAGTGTTGGAGCATTTACTGCTGCTGGAGGCAGGCGGTTCCACATGTCCAAATATATCCTGTATTCTATATATCCTATAAAACAGGGGTCTCCAACCCCCGGGATTGGGCTTCACAGTTGTAGGTGAGTGGTGGTTGAGAGAGCAAAACTGAAATCATCCCTTCCCAGTTTGTGGAAAAATGGTCTTCCACAAAACTGGTCCCTAGTGCCAAAAAGTTTGGGAACTGCTGCTATAAAGCAGAATATGTTCCATAATCTGTTTTGGAATAGATATTGTAGGACAAACAATTGGCCATGTAATCCAGGCAGGTTTTAGCATGAGTTCTCATATGTAAATCCAAAAGGGAAAAGTTAGATTGATATTTAATGTTCCATCATTTTCCCTGGAGTAAAATAGATAATTTTTAAAATTATATGCTGTTGTTGTAATTTAATAGAAAGCGGGTTTAATTATAAAATGTAATGCTGGTTGGCTTTATAGCCCACCAGATGGTAGTGTCAGTTGTTTAAAGCATAAGATTCCCACCCACTGCTTTTAATGTTCTCATAGGTCTCATAACCTGGTCTGGCATTACTTAAGACTGTTTTTTTCAGTCCCCAGATGTTCAGCAGTATATAAAATATTTAAGATGAAATCTTGCTGACGAGACAACAGGTGGCAGAGCTGGGGATGTGCAACCTGTGGTTTTTAAACATAGCTGCACTACAATTCCCAGCATCTTTCCCATTGACCATAATAAATGGCATTGCTGCAATATATATATATCAACAATCATCTGGAGAGTCACATGTTTCTAATCCAAATCTTATCCTACATTAGGAAGATTTTCCAGGGTTGTAACATCCAGTTCCTTTAATAAATTTAAGATTTATTTCATACTGATGAAGAAAATAGACAATATTAAAGGCTAGTCATGGCAAATGGGTTTTACAATAAAAGACTGGTTTTATGTTACAGGATGAAATGTTAGATTTAAACTGGTGGCAGAGATCAGTGCTTTGGCTGATCTCAGAAAAAGCTAGAAACAGTCAGACGTGATTAGTACCTTGATGAGAGAATTCAAGAAAATCATACTACCATGGACTAGACTGGGAAGTCAAAACATTCCAAGAGAAGAAAGTGACACATCTTGCCACAACATTACATGAACATGTCCATATAGTCATCAGGAATCAAGCTTGACTGAAAGGGAAATATTTCAAAGGAAGCACTTCCCTGTCCTTTGCTGTTGGCATTACAAAGTAGGCCAGACCATGAAATAGACACCATGTCTGCCTAAAACTACTTTTATAGTGATTGCCTGTAGTAACAGAATCTTACAACACCCCCTCCCTTCTTTATATATCACATGAGTTAGGGGGAATCCCTGCTTGTTTTCATCACCCTCCCCTATTATCTGGGCTTCTGCCATGTTTGCTAACTGAATGCCTCTCCTCTTTCTGTCCCCATCAAGATAATTTTCTTTATTTTCTGTAACAATGATCTCAAGGAAAATTCAGCAGAGTCATGTCGGATTAGTACTGGATGGTTTAGTAATATAGGCTAATCTGGGAAAGTAAAAAAAAGTGCAAACATCCTAATTTACAGGAATCCACCTCAGCATTGTTGCAAGAAAAGTCCATGGATCTGCCTATGAAGTCACCAAGAGTTGAATCCAATTTGAGAGAGTTTTAATTTTTTGGATTCTTGTTAAATGTTATCACGGAAATAAGACCCCCAAAACTTGTGGAACTTCTTGTCAAAGGCAAGCATAGAAGCTATTATGTTATTGTATAAGCATTATGGGTTATATTAATAATTGTTTCTTATTTTTCTGTGGTTATAACCCATTAATCTCCCATTTCTTTTCCACTAGATTCAATATTTGTCATTCTTTTTTTGATAGTCATTAGCATGAGAGTAAATTCAGCTGAGATGCATGATTGACTGTAATTTAATATTATGCTTAATCTTTCTTAATGTGATAATCCCTTTTTCTAAAAAAAAAGATAAGTAGATTCCTTTTGGTGTATCCTTAAGTTAGCAGATATACACTTACATAATTTTCATATGGAGAGAAAAGAAAGAAAAGCAATATGGAATATGCACCAATTATTTATTTGTATTTTGTGATTGGACATTTGATTTGGAAATCTGATTTTATGTGGTGCTCGGACACTTTTGCCAATCCTAGTGCATGTTATTTCTTTCCTATCCTAATTTATTTTTCCATATGATTAAATTTCAAATGATAAATAATTCTGGGCTTTTGTTCAAGATGACATTACTCTGTGTCACATGTTAGGACTCTGGGAACCAGACAAAAATCTAATTTTGATTTAATTGAGAATCAAACTTATTTCAAAATGATCCAGTTTAGATTTTACATGAGGCAAGAAAGTGATAGGCCAGAGTTTGATTTTTTTTAATGAGGAAATCCATCCAGTGTCCCTTACATTAGAGTCAGTCACCTTATGTACCTACCTACAGTTCTGTGAAAAAGTATTTATTCTTTTTGAATTTTCTGGATTTCTGCATACCTGTGCTACCAAGCTACAAATGATGAATAAGGGAAGTCCCACCAGAGTTTGATGCTTGTTTCATTTATTTCATAAAAAAGTTATCCAACATGTAAATGCCAATGTGAAAAAAAAAACTAATGGTTTTTCGTATCAGATTCTTTCTGTGGTTGTTCTATTTTTATTCTAATTTCTTTCACTTCTTTCTGCTCCATGTCCATTCCCTTCCCCCCAAAATCCACTATTAAAAAAACATAAGACTCATATTCAAAAACTTTCATCATCCTTCTTTTCTACACTGATTGTGTCTTTCTTCATATTGAACCAAATCAATCATACTTTTAGATTTATATTCATTCCTTTAGCATATGCATTTATGAATACAGGTTTGAGTACATATTTGAAACAGATCTTTGTGTAAGCACAGACCATCACCAGTCTCATTTATTCCTGGGTTTCCAAATGGCCCAGTTCTTATGTTTATATTCACTCATCTCATTCCTTTCCATCTCTTTGTCTTGCAGAATATTTTTTTCCATGGGTCGCCTTCATTCAAAATGTGCATTTTCCCCAAAAATAATTTCTATTTTTTCCATTATCATTCTGGCAGTAACCTCTGAAATTCTGCTTTCATACTCACCCATATGTCATAGTCATCATGATCTGATGGTCACAGAAACATTTATCTGCTATTCCTCATGGCTTTGGTCAGTTAAGGTTTTCACATAACACTTTTTATAATACAGAGAAGATACATAGCAAGTTACCACTTTTAGTCATGCCATATGCAGCAGTCCTTACTAATGATAAGGACTATCAATCAGTTTGGGTACATTTGCACCACTTTGCCATAAGGGTAGCCAAAATCTTTTCAAGCATGCCTACACCATTCTACACAAACCAGACTCTCTCCTAACCCCTTACCAGCCACCATACTGTTATCCTTAAATGTATATGCATGGGTAAAATCTCCATGAAAGCTGCATTGCATGACATTGCATATATAGAAGAGAATCAACAAATGTACTATTTTGGCCTTTTACTTGTGTGGGAAAAAAAATAAAAAAATAAGCTCTTCCCCCCAAAAACAGACCCAACACACCACTTTTGATTTTGCAGCAACAGGGTGATTTTCCCCCCAGCCATCATGTAAAGATTATGTTTTATAAATATAAATAATAATAAAAATAAATAGATTCTTTTATATTTCCTTTATTTATATTTTTTTAGTTTAAGAATTACACACTAGCCAACATTATTATATATTTACATGCTGAAACTGGCTGTAATAAGTTTAGTTTCAAGAAAATATCTCTTATGTGCTATTCAATTTACAATAATCATTTGACTACCTCTATTATTCCAGAGGTTAGCAGTCCTTCTGAGAAAAAACATGATGCAATGTTATCCACTAATATTTTGCATTTTCTAGCCATTGGAAAATGTGCATTATGTGCATATTAGAAAGGCTACAAGGTCATTAGTAAGTCTCATGGTTACTACATTATGGAGTAAATAGTACTAGGTTAAAAAAAGAGGAAGAGAAGGATGCAAAGACAGTACTAACAGAATCATTTAAACACCCATGCAAATTAAAATTGTGAAATCTCAAAACATGGTAAACTATGATAGAGTTCTTAGATGTTTTAAATGCTTGCATGAACTAAAACTATATGGTGGATCTTAAATGTATTCCCTGGTGAATCTTTCAGTGGCACTAACAATGCAAACATATATAATGCTGCTAAATTTGAATTTAGAAGAAATTGAATTTAACTGTAGCTATTTGGAGTTAAGACTTAAAATAATAACCTTAATATAGATTCATTATCAAAATACTTAAATAATTTGACACACAAAAATGTGTTGCATATAACCTGCAAAGTTAATCTACTCCACTTTATCATGAATTAATTAACTTGGATTATAAATGCCATTGGTAAAGGCTATAACATGGTCTCTTGAACATTTCCTAGTGCATTTTTGTTAAACTTTACCTTTGGTGTTAAGCAATATCTTGATAGAGTTCCCTTTAAATATATTTCTTTCGCATTGGGTGGATTGAGTTAGGCTGGAAAGGAACAGAATGCTAAACAATGACAGACAAATTTCTTTGTACCAGTCTCTAAAAGACAAGGAATGTGCATGATGTCTTTCTGAGAATAATATTACACTCATGAAAAAAATCATAGTTCCTTTAACTCCTTAAATCTGTATTATATCTTTTTCACTTCCTGGAAGAGAAAATCATCAGTATTATTACTGTGTCTGGATAAAAGGCTGTCACTGTGGCCCAAACTATAGAAAATTTCTTTGTTTCTCAACCTGAACAACTTTTAAGATGGGGGCTTTCAGCTTCCAGAATTTCCCAGCCAGCATGGGTGGCTGAGGAATTCTGGAAGTTAAAGGTCACATATCTTAAAGGTTACTGAGGTTAAGTAGTAATATTTTATTAAGGACTCATGGTACACTAGACAGACTACTCTCTAACTAGAAGTATGGTCTCTTTAAGTCACTTGATAACTCCAACTTTCTCCAGGAGTTCCTTTAAGTCACATTCCCTAGTTAATGGCAATTCTGAAGTCCTTTCAGAATTGCAGACTTAGTATTAATGGAAATCAAAATAGGCTCATGAAAAACCAGGGCCGCAATTCTAAAACTACATGTAGCTCCAATTTTCCCAAGAAGCTCTGCAGAATTAGCAGTTGCCTTATTCATTTCAATATCAGACACCATCCCAACGAAAATATGGAGTTGACTCCCTCTAACTTGCAGTGCTTCAGAGATGCTAGTGTAAAAAGCACACCTGCAGATCTATTCTGAAGTATCCACATGCCCCTGAATCTCCATGTGCACCAAAGTCAATGGATAATGGCACTCATTAAGGATTTTTATCGGTTCTTTCTCCTCCCCGCTTAGAATTGAACTGGTTACATTGATACTGACTGAATAATATGCCAATCTTATTAAGTATTTGTATATTTTGATATTGTCCTCTGAAATCCAAGTCTTATGCAAAAGGGTGTTTAAATTGTTCTGCTAGAAAGCTGCAATTACTGTACTTAGTTTTTTTTAAAAAATCATTGAACAATTACTCTTTTTATTGACATTTCATTTACAGCTTATTTAAATATTTACATTTTAGGACACTAACCTAAACCATAAATAGAATCAACTTTTTGCCTTACATTAAAGTACAAATTAGAAGTTAAAAATGTTAAGAAATCTGATAATATTTACAGTTTTGTTTTTTTTAAATTACGATTGCTCACATTGTATGACCTATGTACAAATAGCAAAATGTTATGATCACTATTTTTAAACTATTGTACCTGAACCCTCTTATCTTTTTTCTCCCCAGAGAAATATGTCATAGTTTTGCTTTTTCTATCTAGGTATTAGGACTTTTTAAAAAGTTAGTAGAGATGTTTTCATTGAAAAAAAAAAAGAAATAGACAAACAATGTGAGAGTTAGTCTCTGCTGAGATGGTAGAAGATATAGTACTATCGCAATATCCACTGTGAAATGCTTCATAAGAATTATACGCATTGATCTGCTGATATAGAAATCTCCAGTTACCCTGTATAGTAAGATTTTAAATACATTAATAATTTATGTTCTCAAAAAATATTCACATATTGGTTGACTATAGAAACACAACTGTTATTAGCTTATTCCTTTTGAAATACCAATGCAAGATTCTAGCTCAAACCCAAACAATTATGAGCAGCAGAGGCTGAAGGTCTGCAATGCTAATTAAAAAGGAAGTTGGACTGGACAGGATGGCGATGTCTCTAGCTCAGCCCTGATCTTTCTCTCAGGAGGATAAAATAGAGACCATTTCTCTAACAACTCAATCCTTGTGTCTTTTCCTTTCTTTACATCTGCTGGTGGCATCTCAAATTACCTCTCATCTTTCAAGTGTGGTCATCCTATTAAGAATGGGCAGGGGGCTTCTTTAACATCCCTCCATAGCATCAAACAGATGTAACAGAAAATGTAAATGTGGTCCTGTAGTTTTATTGTGGCTGCAAACGCTTTCAGGAAATTGGAATTTGAAATGTCCCATCAATATAAAAGAGACACCAGTGTCAGAAGCTGCAAATATTGGAACAATCTTCTCCCTCACCTTACTCAGCAACCTGCCCACCCAGTTTACAGATCAATGTGCTCATATCCATTTCTATGCACAAACTGGTTTCATTAGATTAGGAGACTGTAAAAATTCATACGTATGTGTGTGTATGTCTATGCATGTGTAGTTACACACACATAAGATATAAACACATATATGTGTATACATTCAAGAATATATATAAACATGTGGAAATATGTCTTTATTTGTATCATATATGTAGATAATGGTCTGAGTTTGGCTTACTTAAATTAATTTCACTAAGTGGGAAATTGAAATATAAGCTTAATTTAAAAGAAAGAAAGAAAGAAAATGTATATTTTACCTAGCAGGATCATTTTCCTAGATATATTTAGCTGGCTAGCAATATGTATTTGCTCTCATGTTATCTATGCATTGTGCTTTTGTCTGGCTGATTTTATATATTAGAATGTAAAATTTCCCAGGTGTGTCTTTCAATACTATTATTCAAACTTTGCTGAAAGTATTCAGAATGAAATTACTTGGTTCTTTCTTCCTAGTCATTTAAACTACCATGTCTATAAAAACATAGCTTTCCTTAGACAAACATAAATATGGCACATGAGTTTTAGTTGGAAAATGCATATTAAACTTAGTAGCAGTCATATACAGAACATATTTACAGAGCATTAATCTGAAAGATATGGTTAAAACTGTGCCATATTATATCGTTGTAATTTTGTGGTGAACTTAATATATGAAGAAAAAACACCTTAATTGCTGGCTAGTATGCATCCAAAACCTGAAAAAAAGTAATAATTAAAGGAATAATTATTAGGCAAAACATGGCTCTAAACAAAACAAAATTAGAGTATATTTCAGATAAATACAACGGTAATAGCTTAGTTCAATGTCCTTTGTGAAGTAAACTGTATAATGTTTTTTTAATCTCTACCACATGCTGGTATTGGAGGAGATAAACCTTTTTTTGTGTTATCTTAGATCTCCATTTGCCAACCTCACTTTAAATCTCATTTTAATTTAAGTTACTCGTATGTCTTTGAATTAATTTATTCAGAAATGTGATTTCTCATTTACTCCTGAAAGCATCTTCTACTTAATAACATAAATGACCTCATGGAGATGAATATGTACTTTCTTTTTTAGCCCCCAGGGTAAAATTCACCCTCTCCTTGGAAAGATTAGAAAATATTATGGCTTGTACTATAAACTTCAGCTATGGTAAAGTGCAGTTTTAGAAGCTGATTCTGTAGTTTTTCTAAGGCTGGCTTGTTGAACCAATCTGAGAAGAAGAAAAAAAAAAAGGATAGAAGGGATTCTCTTTTTTTTAATGTCTAAAAATCCCTTGGTTGATAGTTTTCACATTTTGGTTTTTATAAAATTAATGGGCAATTTCAGCAAAAGAAAAAAAATAACATAACACATGAATGTAGCAAAACACATCTTATTTGTTCCAAAAGATGTTTTAGAAGGGGGTGTTCTAAAACACTGTCCATCTGATGGAAAAAAAAAAACATGACAAAAAAAAAAGTGTGCGACTCAGTGCTGTTGTGCCTGAGTCACAATACCAGTCTTTTCACAAACTGTGAAGTTCATAATTCAACCAAGTATGCTTGCAAAGAGCCTAGGAAGCTTAATTTTAAAGTATATTACAAAGAAATAAAGAATCCTTTGTGCTACGGAAACTATTAGCTGGAAGCAATATATACATACATACAAAAAAGAAACATGATAAAAAGAATATGGAACATTTCTAGTTCCAAAGGATACTCATTCCCAACTATGATAATGCATTTATTTCCTGAAACAGGTTGATCTTCTGTTCCAGGAGGACACGGCTACCTTATATGAATTTCATGTAAATTCTACTGAATTGATTGGACAATATACATGAACCAAGAGAGCGTAATTGTAAAATACTTATGTGAGGAAAAAAAATTAATGAAAATCATTCAGTCCCTTCAGCTGGAAAATATATGAGTAGCTCTCCCCCATTCATTGTCCTCTCTTAAAAAAAGTTCTAAAACTGAATGGAAAGTATTGAGTGAAGACGATGATCCAGTTCCTTTCAATAAGCTTACTTTTTTGACGGGTCTGTTTGCATATCTAAATAAATATGTGAACTATAAAATGTATGATCTACTCAATTGTTTTCAAATAGAAGGGAAATACAACCCCAAATTATAATTTAGGAAATATTTTGTTGATCAAGATTTGTAATTTGCATGATATTTGATCCTTGTGTTTGACAACATTTGGCACGTCTTTCTCTGTTCCAGAAGAAAGTACAAAGCACTGAGAAAAAACTACCTATGAAGTAATTGCCGGCCCACTCTCATTTGGCACTAATACATAGAAGGCTCCTAGATATTACATTTAATGGTGCACAGTTGGACATATTGGCCATCTCCAAAATAGCTCTATGGTTCACACAATGGTAATTGATATGCTGACTTAAATACTTCCCAATTATGTGTAATTTGCTTTCATATTTTCCAAAAAGAATTCTTAATTCAGTCAACAGCTTGATACATGTCTTCATAATATGATGGCAGGCATTATGACTCACTGTAGCTTCAAATTAAAATAAAAAGGTAAAATATGAACATGATGTTGATTTTGATATAATATGACCGTACTCTTTTCATTCAAATAATGCTCTTTAACCCAGATGAGTCTAGAAGAAGAAGTTCAAACCTAACTTTTTAGCTTCCCCTTTCAGTATCATCCAAAAATGAAGAGACCACGTTTCAGGTCTGCCTCCAAACATCAAATGCAATTATATCTTTAAAAGCCAGATTGTGTACATTTGTACTGTAACTTGATAGGCTTCACAGTTGTGCAAAATAAATCCAAACATTACTGAACAGGTTATAGAGTGGGCCAGCAAATAAGGTGTTTTAAAATAACTTGTCCTGAATAGATTTTGTTCTTCCTAAGTCCCACATTTGGCTGTACAATCAATTTTGAAGAGAAATCCAGTTCTTGATATTTGTGTGGCTTTCTTTGTTTTTAGTTCACATAGTAAAGCCAATAGACAATATTGAAGAAAGAAAAAACAACCGGGAAGAATATGCGTGACCATCGATCTATGGCATTTACATCAGTCAAGTCAGGGATAGTAATTTTCAACTGAGAAGCACGTCTCCTTAACCGGCTTTTCTTTTGGGCCACGTGCCGTTCCAGAGCATTACGGCCAAAGCTGTGTCTTGGTAAGCCAGCCTTCCGATACTGGATACTTGAGGTATCATAGGCCAGCATCGTGCTTCTAGGGTCCCCGAGCCCTATAACAGCTTCAGAGGCAGCCATCTCATTTTTAATTTCAAGCGTGCTCAACAAAATGTTCTCATGTGGGTCCATCTGTAAAAACAGAAGAAATTGTCTTAATGTGTGAAATCAGTTACCAAACTCCACTAATTAATAAAAGACTGGATCTAAGCCATTAAACAGTGCTGATAAAAAGAGAAGCATACAAAGCAGGGCTATGCGGTGCTTCAGATTTGAAATCCACTAATGCTTTGACGCATTAAACATTCAGTTTCTATTTCCTTAAAATAGCTACATCCTTTCTTGAGACAGCAGAATTGCCATGCAATTCCAGGAAAAGATGTGCTCCATTTAAGAGGTTTTAGACAAGAGAAAATGTGTGTCTCATAGTTTCCAAAGTCCCTTTTGCTTTCAAATCTGAAGCACTGCGTAGTCCAAATACGAACACAGGCTGGTAAATTATTTTTTTTTATAGCTCAGGCAAATAGATTATATGACACATTTCACTACCTTTATCTGGCTACTGAATCTCAGAAATTTATAGTTTTGCTACTGTTAGCTACATTTAATTCTGAACATCTTAACAGTATTTTTAATGAGCTCAAGAATAATGTAGCATGAGATAGTTAGGTATTCGCCTGCTTTCCTCAAGATGTTTGTTATATTTATTCTGTTGTTTGGATGCAGGGCTAACTCCATTGAAAATACTTTTGAAATATGCAATTGGGTGGATGTGGGCTTACAATGCTCACTTTGGTATAAAAGATCATTAATTTTTCATTGCCAGAGAAACACTCTTTTTTGTTTAGACTGGTGTCATCAAGTTATATTACTGTGGATATCATTGGGAAGAAAATAGAAAAAAAATCAATCCTGGATCATCTTACCAATGCAATGACTAGGCAGAGCATTTAGCTGTAATTCAGAAACCAAAATAACCAGGCATTTATTTTACAGTAAAATCATATTAAAATTTAATATTCTTTTTAAAGTATTTTTAATTAAGAGACAAGCTAGTTTGATGTAACGGTTAAGGCATCAGGCTAGAAATTAGGAGATCATGAGTTCTGGTCCTGGGCTTACACAAAGGCCAGCTGGGTGACCAGTCACTTTCCTTTAGCCCTAGGATGGAGGCAATGGCAAACCCCACTTCTGAAAAACCTTGCTAAGAAAACTGCAGACACTTGTCCAGGCAGTCTCCGAGAATCAGATACGATTAACGGGGGGGGGGGGGAGTGAGGACAGGATTATCGATGTTTCAAATGTCGTGTTTCTTGCAAATGCTACTCTCAGCTATTCAAAACTAAATACGGGTTATACGGGTTATGCTTTCATTGTCTGTGAGTTATTGCTTAAAAATAGCATCAGTCTTTATCCATGTTAGGAAAAATTGTATTCTTAGTATATAATCATTTGATTTCTGATTATCTGAGCTTTAAATGTAGTTTTTGAGTTAAGTATATTAAATTTAATGTTGAGACCCTGAGTATCAGTTTAGAATAGTCTAAATAGTCACACACATCTCAATCAGTTATGCATCACAATGACAATGCTGTGCATCACCAGTGCTTTGTTTTTAAAAGGAAGTACGTTGGGAAGACACATGGATGAAGGGACGTATGCTTGAAAAAAAAAAATATTCTGATCCATATTCCTGGCAAATTTGTAAACCATTTTTCAGAGTGCAACCTGAAAACTTTAGGTCTGCAATTGGTTTGGTAATAGATGAATGTGTCAACCTGTCTACTGCCGTAGGAGACAGTGGCATAATTGCTTTATATCAGGGTCCACAAAAGACATAAGCATTGCATCAGTCTCTCAGAAATATTCAAACAAACAGTACTATGTATTGTGAATTTTACAGACATTGTTTCATGCATTTGCAGAGAATGTGTACATTATTATTATTATTGCGTTAAATATGACATTGTCAATTATTGAATTGAATTTGATAATTCTGGTCAGAATGTCTGGGGCTGTTCCTTTATCATTTCCTATGAAACAAACATATTGATAACCAAGCATATCATGTCTGCATTCCCTTAAGAAATGTATATGCATAAGCATAGCCAAGTCATTTTTCAAGACATTACCACTTCATCCTTGAAACCAAAAGTCAGCTAGCCACTCCCCAAAAGAGGTAAATGGGTAGGGATGATAATATTTTCACAGTACAGACAAATGTGCCCAGTATTTCCATGTGCATTTCATGGAACTAAACACTGAAGAATTCACCATTTGCCAAATGGTAAATTATTTACGGTTTAAGTCATTATATTGAAACAGTTTAAAAGGAAGAAAGTTAACTCTGGGATACAGTTGTGAAATAAATAACATAGTCACTGATATCAGAAATCATAAAAGAGGAGCATTGGTTAATTCGGGGAAGAGTGGTTGTATGGAGTGAATCATACAAGCAGGGTGGGCAAGCTTTCTAAAAGTTTATTTTTTATTTTTTAATTTCCAGTCAGCATCCAAACCCTTTAACCAATCTCCAGCCTTCTTTAGATCTCATAGTTAATACAGTGTGAATAATAAGCTGACATATATTTAAATAATTTAGAAGAAAAAGAAAATTGTTTTCAGAATATGTCATTTTGTATGTTTCATATTTTATTCTTGTAATCACTTTTTTGGTAATCAGACATTTGTCAGAAGACACTATTATTTAAGAAGGCTGGAGATATCTACTTCTTTTCTAAAAACACACTGGAAATCATTTACTAGCAGAAAATTAGTAATGGATGAGCCTCCACAGGGAGATAGAGATTTTGTATTTCTCTTTATAAACATTAAACAGATATCAATTTTCTAAAATAAGAAATAAATTCAATTGATGAAAAGCAAATTGAACTAATTTTTGAAGTTGATCTGTGTTTTTGATTAGGAAAGCAATGTTGAGTTTCAGAACAACAGAATAGGTTCACCCATTTCTAATGAAAATGTATGCTTGTAACAAAAGAAAAGCTTACAATACAACAGTGAAACACATTTATTCTGCAGGCGCTTTTCATCCAGAAGGATCCCAAAGCGTTTTACAGACTTTAGAAAGCAACATCACTTCACCAAGTGCAGTCATCTGAGGCAAAAATGTGGGAGCTATATAACATTGCCAAACAATACAGTGTAGTTCATTATAGGAAATGAAGAATGCATTGTCAATTAGACCTAGGTTGTGATTGGGTAAATGATGTGGAGATGATTCAAAAGAATGAACACCCTTTGCAATTCAACCAAAGTTGGACAAGATTTTGGCATGAAGATGCCAGGTCACAAACAATGTGCCATTGGTCTGTAATGAGTTCAAGCCCTCAGTTTTACATCCCTAAGGATAAAACCATTAAGAAAGCAATAAAATATACCTTTGTTGAATACATTTCTGGACAATGATATGTGCCAATTATTCTTCTGTCCTGTAAGTTAATAAATCAAAACCAGTTTCCTTAGAAAAAAATCAGCTGTTAGTTTTCATTAAAAATTAATGCACTATAGGCTATTATTGTAAACTATGCACACTAATTAAAAGCACAGGGCAGTGTGAGCCAACAAGCAGCAGAAGTACTGTAGGTCCTTATTTTAGAAATGCTGTTGTTGTCTTAGCCCTGACACTATGGACAACATGTATTTGCAATGGAAGTAAATATAAGTGAGCATATATATGCATGTATACACATGCACACATATATATCCAAACTGGTAGGCATTGAAACTACCCCAACCCTCAACATATGAATTGAAATGACGTGAAAATAACATTAAGAAGGGGCTTAAGGATTATACAGCAATAAGACACAAACTTTAGATGTAGCATAGGATAATTCCATAGGAAGAAAGCTGAAAAGATAAACATGGATGAATGGAAAAAACAAAATATAAAATGAATACTATATTAATACTCAAATTAGTAATCATGGAAGCATCTTATAATTACCTTAAATCATTATATGGCAAATAGCACAATGGAATTTACAGACAGACCAAAAATCAACTTGTAAAATTGTACAGTACCCTGAGATACTGCTGATATTTTTCTTTATATACTTACTTGGAAAGGCAATTCCAATGAGTTCCTAGAAACTCCAAAATGATGGCTATCTAAAGGAGTTGCATGTAACATTTTAATATATCAATGAGATGAGATCTAATATCTGAAAGTATGTTCATTGATAACAAAGGGAAGTAATTATTTTTCTCTGGGAGTAATTTTACATAGGCTATTACTTCCTGCCTGGCTGAAATTTCTGCACTGTTCACTTTCTTCTTTAATATCAAATATGCACTACATAACTAGCATGCTAAGATATGTGAGTTGTACAGTTTTGTTGCTTGCAAAGCATAGGCTGAAAAGTCAAACCATTCACAGAAGTTCATCCTGATTTTTATATTAAACGGAACAATAAAACATTGTGTGGGAGTAATATTTAAATTGTCTATACTCCAATTCTGAGGTCCCCAACCTTTTGGACACTGGTTATGTGGAGAGAGTTTTTCCTGCAGATGGGGCTTTGCTTGTTTGTGCGGCCCGGTTGCTGGGCGTTGGGGACCTCTGCTCTAATTCAAAGTAATAGAGGCCTTAACTCCCAAGTTGTTATAAAGCAGGGGTGTCAAACTCGCAACATCAATGGGGTGGGCGCGGTTTCGGCATGATGCATCCAGCCCATGGGCCGGCAGTTTGACACCCCTGTTATAGAGTATAACTGAAGGTGTTAGTTAATTGTAAATATGTAGCTCAAGGTGTGGGTATCTATAATGTTATCTATTACAGGGAATAGATAACTGTGTAATATCTTGCCCTTTGAGACCTTCTAGCCTTGCAGAAGCTGGTAAAGATCTGTCTGCTCTAGAAGGCCTGGGGACCTGAATTATTATCACTAAACATGGTAATATGTTTTAGCATAATGTTATATAATACAAAAATTTTAATTATATTTATATGTATTCTATCTTTCTTGCTGTTGCCTTCCTACCTTTAAAAAAAAAACCTTCCTGCATGCCTTCTTTTCTTTTTTTTAAAGATTCTAAGCTCATTTACTAAATACTACTTTGTTTGTCCTGGCTTTCTGAACAATTCTAGAACTGGCAGCTAGAGACCATTAGAATCAAAACAACTTTTGTATTCCTTTTTTTTTACATCAGCTCAGCCATTATTGTCAGATAATTTATTGCAATATCCTTTTATGCATTACTTTACAGATTTTTGCCCTATCTTTTACATAATTTAAATACATTTTGAAATAAAACTTAAACATTTAAAGTCCAATTGTATCCCCAAATTTGCATTCATAGATGTATTATCTAATTACCCTTTATTATTTGTAAAAAGATAGCTGAAAAATAAATCTAGTTTTGATAAATAAAGCAGAGTGAATTAGCCCTGTCTGAATGTCTACCTTTTCCTTTTGATTGCAGAGCAGATGCAGATATAATGAATCATGTCAAAACTTCTATTTTAAACACCATAATAGGCATCTACTTTAAACCAAAATAATGAAACAAAATGTATCCCATTGTCATAATGTAAGCCCTGGCTGTTTGTACTTATGTCTTCACTTCAGAAACAAGTATAAAAGTCACAGGGCATGTGTTGAAATTTATTGCCACCTCTTTCCCCCATGTCTTGTGCACTACTTATTAACATCATACATAAGTATGCCTCTTTCATAGTATTCTTTCTACTGATATAATACTCTATTAGGGTAACTATTTCTTTATTTGATTTATTAAAACTGCTCAACTCAAAAACAATATGTCCAATGTGTATGTTAAAGCTCTATTAAAAACACATGACTGTTGAAACTAAAATAGCACTCCCCAACATGTAAAAAAGGACTTGACAGGGATTCCACAGAGATCATAAGCCTAGGTCTGGGAACTGAATCAAGTCTCAAGAGACTTGTGGAGAGTGGGATCTGTGTATATCTCCAGACAGATGCTATTCCAGAGGGTAGGGCAATTTTTAGAATCATTCTCATTGGAAATATATTTATGTTCTTTCTAATAGGCATAATCAAAACAGCTTGGAGTGCAGCCAAGCAAACCCAATGACTGTTCTATTCTCCTAACATTTGAATTGCTGTTCCTGTTTAACTGTATATGACTTGGCTTTGCCATAACAACTAATAACAACTAAATTGACTACAGTTCCATAAGAGAAGGAGCTACACACACACACACACACACACACACACACACACACACACACACACACAAATGTGCATGCATGAACATACAGACACTGAAAGGTTTGTGCAAAAAACATTCTTGAAGACATTCTTGGGTCCAGTAGGCTCTTTCAGAAAGGCAATTGTATCATGATTCATTTCAAAGATCCTCCTGTAGATCACTATGCCACAATTCTACTAGAACAAATGCTAGACTGGTTGCTTAAAAAACGAGGTGATCAAGTGCAGAAGGAGTTAAACAGGTACTTAGATATGGGTCCTGAAATTTGACCATAGCCAAGATATAGAAGACATTATTGACCTTACTTCCAAAGAGCCTGAATCTCTAAATAGAACTTTGCCGTGTTTTCTCAACTTTTGAATTAGGAATACTTTTAAAATCAAATTATTTTGAATCTGAAACATGTTTTCAGCATGTACCCCATTCTTATTTTAAGTATTTGAAGAGTGTAAAATTCTCAGAATAGCAACATTTTACACTTGAAGCAGCTGTTTCCCACTCAAAACAGACTGTTTTGAACTCAACATTTTGATCCAAAACATTTGTATTTTGTATGTAAATGTAGGCTAAAAAAAAATATCCTCAGAGATAAAATATGTTGCCTGAGAGTGCTGCTCATGGCAAGAAGTATTTTATTTTCCAAATGTACTGGAAGATAAACTTTCTGATTATGTAAAAGGACTGTTATACCTTAGACACTGTATGTGAATATCCTAGGACAGTGTTTCTCAATTGAGGCTGAGAAATTCTGGGAGTTGAAGTCCACGCCTCTTAAAAGTTGCTGAGGTTGAGAAATAATGTCTTAGATAGAATGAAGTGAAAATGGAATTCTGAGATCATTCTGATACATAAAAAGTCTTGCACAGCTGATTTGACTTCTTTGGTGATGTCACCAGGATTACTGTTGCAGAAATACAGTGAAGTTAGCATCTACATTTTCTGGAACAGTCTACAGGTTGCTACTGTATCAATCACTTTATATTAGGTTGACTCAGCCTTCCATCCTTCCGGGGTAGGTAAAATGAGGACCCAGATTGTTGGGGGCAATGTAAATATATATATATACATTGCTTACTGGTGTACACGGCTTAGAGAGTGTTTGCACTTAAAATGGTATATAAGTCTCATAAATAAATAAATAAACGAATAAATAAATGAATAAATAAATAAATAGTTTTACCACATTCTTACATAAAGCTAAGGGAAAAAAAAGCAAACAATGCTATTCAGGAAACTGATGGTTCAAAGCAAATTCTTATATAACAGTGATATATAATGATCAATAATATTTTTAGGTTGGTTTTTTGCATTATTAAGACTGCAAATTCAGTGTGAGCAGCATGGAATAAATCAAATTCATTTATTAAATAATATTTTTACTTCTATAACCAATCTTAACTTCTATGTTATTTTTTTGAACCATGTAGATCAGAGGTCTTCAAACTTGGCCCTTTTATGACTTGTGGACTTCAACTCCCAGAATTCCTCAGCTAGGATGTCTACAAGTCATAAAAGGGCCAAGTTTGAAGACACCTGACGTAGATCAATTTCTACATGATTAATTAATTAAAAATTAATTTTTTTCTTGGGAATTTATCTTTTTTTTTTAAGAATTGTTAGAAACAGAAGAAATTCTGTTCTGGATAAGAAACAAATGCCATTTGGTTTTAGACTGAGTTGAATGTGTATTATTCTGGTGCTGTATGAGAGAACCAATGAAATGCAGTTCAACACAATGCAAGTATTGGACTAGAACTGCATAATATCATGGTTTATTTCCACCCTAAGCTAGGCAAAGTACTGAATTATTGGGGATAATTGATATTTGTTAGTCTAACCTACCTCATATTTTTTATGAGGAAAAGTTTGAGGAAGGTATGCTGTGTACATTCTCTTAAGTTGCCACTGGTAAGATAGACCAGAAACAATCTACTGTTTCTATCAATTGAAATAATAGCTAAATAACAGATTGCCAAAGGGGAAAAATATTAATAAGGCTTTTGTGTATAATGCTCTGTGAAGTTTGCTCCTTTTCCTGCATTAAAGTTCTCAATTGTTGAGAAGTTTCTCTTCTTTAAAATGCTCAGAATAAGCAGTTGCCATTGAAATCTCAGGAGGAAAAAGCATTTCCTTAATGGGTTTCCCCCTTTCTACACTTCCTAATCCAAAGGAATTTTGGACAAAAAAGAAGAAGAAAAATAGTCTTCAGACTCTGTCAGTTTGTCTGAAA